CTGGGTGAAGGGTGAGCTGCCTGGGTGGGGGGCTCCGCCGGATTTAGGGAGCTGGGGGACGGGGGGCCGTGCCAAAAATGCGGCCGGCGACGCCCGGGACGGCCCCGGGTTGCTGCAAAAGGACCTGATTACCACTTGTCCTCAAAATAGAGCGTTTTAAACTCTGGAAACGACGATTCCACACTTATTTTTAGCAAACAACGTGAAGTTTTGTAAAGTTCTAACCCGGTGGCAGACCTATAGAGATTTGTTTCACTGCTCCTTGGACTTTGGAGTCAACCTCTCATACAAATTTCTATTTTATTATTATTTGTTAAAATATATCTTTAGTGATTTCAGAGAGAGGAAAGGAGAGGGAGAGGGAGCGGTAGAAACATCAATGATGAGAGAGTCATGGACCCGCTGCCTCCTGCACGCCCCCGCCGGGGATCGAGCCCGCAACCCGGGCATGTGCCCTGACCCGAATCGAACCCCAGTGGCCTGGATCCTAGGTCTGCGCTCAACCGCTGAGCCACGCCCAGCAGGGCACAAATTTCTATGTTAAAGTTGAGCTGGAATTTCCAAAAGGGGCCGTGAATACCTTAGGTTGGTGTCTCCCCCCCCCCTTTTTTTTTTCTCAGCGAGATACTCGGGGCTAACAGCTGCTTATGTTTATGATGCAGGATGACTTTTTTTTTTTAGTTGTGGGTTATGCATTATTTTATTTTTTTAAAAACTCATCATCATCTGAGCCTCAGACTTTTTCTTGCGTAAAACTTCGGACTTTCAACCTGATTATTTGAGCAAACAGGCTGCGCAACAGCCCTGGCGGAGTAGGTGTTCCACAGACTTATCCCGAGTGAGTGGCGGGGGAGGGGGGGTCTTCAGGTGACCCCTGAACCTAATCCTCTGCCAGGTGACCTTGCCACGGGCCTCGGCCTCCCCGGTGTCTCTCTGGCACTGGGGGTGGCCGCCAGAATGCGGAGGCAACATTCACCTCAATTACTCAACTAATGTTGCGTGCACATGGATACTGTTATCATATTTAAAGCTCCAAACTGATCCATTACAAATGTGTCCCTTACAGGCCGCTGAATACATCTACAGGCCCGCAGCAAAAAAAACACCACCACAAGTGTGGCATCTCCCTTCCTCCCTCTCCATGTAATTCAAGATAAAATACAATACTAAACTATACAATAAATGTTCGGAAGTCCAAAAAAGTTCTGTCCCCTCACCCCTCTGTGTGACTGACAGCTTCAATGCTTTATTAAGCAATCAAAGCATCACCTCTTTTCGTTTCTTTTTGGTGCATTGGCTTTGTAGGTGCTCTAAGTAGATGTTTGGTGCGCCCGCCCGTCATTAATTTACACCTGCACTGTGACACAGGAATGTCCGGAGTGTTGAGTAATGATGGTGTGTGTGTGTGTTTTTATTTCTCACTAATCTGACCTCTTATTTTGCAATAGAATACTCTTGCCCTTTCACCTACAAATGCCTCCATCTCTTTTTTTTTTTCTTTATCACTTGTGAGTCACTTGACCTCTTTAAAGATGTGCAACTTCCTTTTCCCGTTCTGTTACTTACATCAGCGAGAAGAGGGCTCCAGGGACTGATCTTGGGGGTGGACTCTCTAAGCTGGAGAGGAAAAGGCAGAGCTGGTGGGATACCCAAGTCCTCCAGGTGATACTGACAGTCTTGAGAGCAGCAATCTTCCACCTTTTCACCTCATGGCACACGTAAATTAATTCCTAAAATATGCGGCACCCCAAAAAATACATTTTTTGCCAATCTGATGAAAAATATAGGTATAATTTGACTTATTTGTGCCAGACGGCCATTGTTCTATGGCTGTTGTCATTTTTTAAATTTGGCAATCTAAGAGAAAAGAGGGCCGAGTCCCTGACTCAGTCGTCAGGCATCGCGTGTTTTAAAAATTCTTGCGGCAGACTGGTTGAAAACCGCTGCTGTAGAGAACTACTGTTTTTGTGTGTGAGCCATTCCCAGAAGTACTGCAATACCAGGTCAACGCTCAGAGTGGACGGAGCAAGCTCCTATTCCACCTCGCTGCTCCAAAAATCCATTTACTGTATTGTACTGGGATAGAAGACGTATCAGATAAGAAAAGATACTACACTTGATCTTAGCCAGAAGCCCCAGAAGCGATGAGAACCCTTGTTTCACAGAAGTGTTTTTGCATAGTTCGGCAGGGGAACTAGTGCTTCAGAATAACCTAGCACGCTCGGTGACGTTCTGCTTCCCACCCCAGGCGCACTGAATCAGGCTCTGCAGGGGGGAGGCCCACCAACCTGCATTTTTAACAATGCCCCTTTTGAGTACCACCACTTTTTACTCTTTTTTTTTTTTTAATCTTCTCCCGAGGATATGTTTTTCATTACTTTTCAGAGAGAGTAGAAGGGACACAAAGAGAGAGAGAGAAACATCGATGTGTGGAGACACATTGATTGGTTGCCTCCCGCATGCTCCCCAGCCAGAGCCGGGGATCGAACCTGCAACCGAGGTACCTGCCCTTGGCCAGAATCGAACCCTGGACCCTTCAGTCTGAGGGCCGGCGCTCTAACCACTGAGCAAAACCAGCTAAGGCGTTTTCCTCCTCACAACGCATTTTTCCTCAGATTTGCGCCTCACAACAGCCTGGGACCTCTGTGGAATGGGGTTATCACTCCCATCTTAGCAATGAAGAAGCAGCCTCAGAGAAGTTTCAGTGTTTGCCTACAGTTTTATGACTGACTAAGCAGCAGCTGGTCAAGACTGGATCCCAGGGGCATGGCTGGAGCTGGTACCCTAATCTCTCTTTGCCTAAGTTCCCTCATCTATAAAATGGAAATAATACTATTCCCTCATGTTCTAGGTAAAGGGTATTTGGGCATTCACTGTACTAGTTTTTCAACTTTTCTGGGGCTTAAAATAATTCAAAATAAAAGGTCGAGGATATTATATAGCAATAGGAGAATGAACAGACCTATAACTATATGCAAACTGCATACAGATAATACTGCGTGAGACAAGCAAACTAAGCTCTGCTGTCAAAAGTAAGAATAGTAGTTGCTTTGGGGGTGGGCAGGACTAGTTACTAGATGGGGCCTTGAGGGGCCTTTTGAGTGCTGGTAATTT